CTCCTGTAGAGAATTCTAAAACACACAGATCAAAGGATTTTTATCAGCAACAGAAAGCAGGGGGCAGTGATCTGACGCCACACACACTGAAGAGCTAGAGCACAGAGTTCCCTGTAATCTGAAAGCTGAGTGGATGGAAGGGTCACACGCTGCTGTACACAGGCTCATAGAAAAACAAAAAGAGCTGTGGCTTTGAGTCACCTCCTGAGTGCTGTTGGGGGGGGGGGGGGGGGTGTCTCCTGAAAGGCTGTTGTGTCTGCTTAGACTTCTATCATTGATTCATGCTGATAGCAGAGAGGAGAGACCAGAGAGGAATAAGACTTGGATTGAGACTAGTACACACTCAAAAGGGATGTACTTTGTTTATTTTTCACGTCTGAGGTTTACAACCATAATGTGTGATACAGCCATTTATTCGAGGAACCAAAATCTTGCCAAAATGTTTACTTCCATGGCCTGACATAGTTTCCATAGGGGAGAAGGTATGTTCAATGTAGGAGCATAGTTCTGCAGTTCAGTGTCCATTTTCTTTCAGTAAAGAAGCTGTGTAAGGTCCTTCCTAATTGTAGTGATTGTAGGTGCAGAAGAAGATGTTCTCACCTTCAAAATGTTCTTGCGAGCTGCTAAAAGGCACAGATGCAGCCACTGGGGAATAGAGCCAGCATGTTCCCCCAGAGTCTGTGTGTCCAGGATCATTGTAGCTAAATAGTAATGAGTGGTGTCTTGGGAAGGAGTCACCCAGTGATGCTGTAAATGAAAGTAATGACTTGGTCCCAAAAGGTTGAGGTTGGGGAGCACAGCCAAAAACAATGAAACAGTGAAGGCTGGGGAGTCCCACATTGAGGACATGTCGCTGGGTGAGTACCGGTGTTCGAAGAGAGAAACGGGATAAACACCCTATGTATTAATTTGTACTGAGTCTCTCTCCATAGTTCTTTTGTTATACGCTTGCGAACTTTCAGATATCCCTTCAGAATCTTCTCTCCCAAATTGTCTTCCGGAAGATCTTTACCCCATTTCACAAAGAGTGTATTGGGCTTGGTGGCAGAAACTACTGATTGCAATGATTTAAAAGCTTCAGAGATAGAATGTGAATGTTTTTGTTAATAAGTGATCAATCGGAGAAAGGCAGAACCTCTTCAAAGTATCTGGACAGCAGGACTTAGTGTGGGAGAGCGTCTGATGGCAGTATAAAAGATGTGGAGGAAGATGGAACTCTGTGCTTAACTCGGAAAAGGATTTTAGTTTCAATGTATCTTGATGGAACAAGGAGAATGCTTTCACCAAGCCTTTTGTGCGCTTTGTATTCCATGCCCTGTGCAAACATTGGATTGCCATGAATATCCAGATGATGAAAATGTTTGGGGAAATATTTAGCTTCTTCCTGGTTCCCTTCCAGGCTATAAACAAATCTCGGATCAATATATTCTGTTGCATGGCTTTCTGAAGGGATTGTAATTTGCTTTTAATTTGATTGTAGTTTGCTGTGTAGAATACCAGACAGGTGGAATGAAATCACTAGGTTAGACTCCAGAATGAAGTTAGCATATGTTGAGGAATGTGAAATCCAATCCAAACCATATGTCACTAAACAAGCCAGATTATACAGCCTAATATTCAGTAGATTACCACCATCTCTCTCTTAAGAAGACTTAGTTTGGATAATGCAATACATGGCCTTTTCTTAGACCAGAGGAATGCAGTGATAGCTGAATGAAGCCTATGCACATCTAGATGTTTAAAGAGGAGAGGAACGGTTTGTAAAGGGTATAGAAGGCAAGGAAAACTCACCATTTTATCAAGGTGGCATCTTCCGAAGAGCAATAAGGGGAGAGTCAGACTTTAGTTCTGATAAAATTTTTGTAAGCAGTGGTGAAAAGTTGAGATGGTAAAGAGAGGATGGGTCCTTCCCTATTTTGATACCCAAATAAAGTATGTGACAGTGAGCCAGGGGGAAAGGGGACGATGCATCCCATTTTGATGCAATAGAATTTGTGAGGGGTAGAACTTTGCTTTTTTCATAGTTGACATGTAAACTGGAACAGAGACGGTGTTAGGAATGGACTTGCCAGTAGTGGTGGGACTCACCTGCCTTGTGGGCTGCAGTACCAGGGCTGGCCAGCGGGTGCTCCCAGCAATCAGAGACTCAACCCTGCAGTCAGCCAAACACTTGAAACTGCTTATGCAGGTGTATTTAAGTGATGGCCAGACCTGCAGTCTCGGCCTTGGTGTGTGTGTTTTTCCTGGGCCCTGTATCTTGTAATCCTGCATTCTTGTTCCTGTGTTCCTGCTAGTACGTTTCCTTGTTGCCAAACTCTGCCTGTTCTGATTACGCTGACCCTCTCCTGCTCTGACCCCGGCTCGTTCCTGACCATCCCTCTGCCTGACCCTCTGTACCACGCTGCCCGCTACCTGCTGAACCTGGCTTGTGACCCCGACCATTCTCCGCTTGCTCCCCCTGTACCTACCTGCCCGATTGTTATTGACCCGGCCTGTCTGACGACGCTTGCATTGTATGTACTGTTATCTGTGGGTGGTTGGTTTGGTTCGTTTGCACTGTGTTATGTTTTAATATTGCACTGCGTTTATGTTTGTATTGTTAGTCTTTAATAAATTATATTGTTTATAACATATCTGAAGTCTGCGTTTCCCTGCGTCAGTCACATACCTCTGGTCATACCCGGGAGCCCTGACATTACACCAAGGCCAATCCTGACCAGAAGTGGCTGCACAGGGAAGCCATCTTGGCTTGTTGCTGGGAAGGATGGATCTGGATGAGGTTGTGTATTTATCTCTGCTAGTGTTTGATGACAGAGAATATGCTTATCAGACTCTGAAGGAGTATCCCAGGGATGAACTGCTAGAATGTATACGGCTCGCTCATGTTCTAGTAGATCAGGGCACAGAATTCTCTGAGGTGCAGCCATTGATTCAGGTTTGTGCGGAGTTGGTTTCATCTGGTACCCTCGAATGCAGGGATGAATTTTTGCCACCATTTAGTGCCGACCAGGTAGAGTCCCTGGTATGGTTATTAGAGGATGATGTGGATTACTTTCTGGAGCGTTATTCTGCATGTTCACCACAGATACTAAGAGATTGTATAAACGCAGTGCAGTCATTGACCAGACAGGCTTTGTGTAAACTGAGCTTTGTTCAACCCATACTGCAGACATGGTCAGATTTGTTGCACCCAGCCTCAGTCAGCTTGCAAAAACCCAGTCCTGCTTCTAATCTATTTCCTCAAAGCTCTATTCCTGCATTCTCAACAGCTCCTCCTGCCCTGCTATCTACCGCATGTCAGTACCTTGTTCCCACTCGCTGCACCTATCCTGCCTTTAACCCTGTAAAGAAGTCCTCTGTAGCAACTGTTCACTCCCCTGTTCCATCCTCCAGCTCTTCTCTGTCTCCAGCTGCTCCATTCGTTTGCAGACCTGCGTTTACGTGCAGTGCTCCAGTAGTTAAAACCAGAAAAAAGCGAAAATTCTTTCCAACCAGTACCATCCTGCCAGTATCCAAATCGGTCAGCCTGCCGTCTGAGAACCGGCCTTCCGTGGTTCAGCCTGGTGCCTCGGCACCCGCACTTCAACCTGATGTCTGTACCCAGCCTGATGTCTGTACCCAGCCTGATGTCTGTACCCAGCCTGATGCCTCTACCCGGCCTGACGCCTCCATTCAGCCTGACGCCTCTACCCGGCCTGACGCCTCTACCCGGCCTGACGCCTCTACCCGGCCTGACGCCTCTACCCGGCCTGACGCCTCTACCCGGCCTGACGCCTCTATTCAGCCTGCTGCCTCTATTCAGCCTGCTGCCTCTATTCAGCCTGCTGCCTCCATTCAGCCTGGTGCCTCCATTCAGCCTGGTGCCTCTACCCAGCATGATGTTTCTACCCAGCCTGATGAACTGATCCAGCCTGATGATCCTATTAGGCCAGTTGACTCGATGCCCGCTGTTGATCCAGACGATCCGGTACTTGATGACCCGGTGCCCGCTGTCATACCTGGTGACCCGATGCCCGCTGTCGAGCCAGACGATCCAATGCCTGATGACCCAGTGCCCGCTGTCATGCCTGGTGACCCGATGCCCGCTGTCGAGCCAGACGATCCAGCGCCAGATGACCCGGTGCCTGCTGTCGAGCCAGACGATTCGGGTACCTGATGACCCGGTGCCCGTTGTCGTGCCAATTGACTCAGAGCCCGCTGTCGTGCCTGGTGACTCAGTGCCCACTGCCTTGCCAGGTGACGCGGTGCCCGCTGGCGAGCCAAATGACCTGATGCCTGGTGACCCAGTGCCCGCTGTCATACCTGGTGACCCGATGCCCGCTGTCGAGCCAGACAATCCAATGCCTGGTGATCCGATGCCCGCTGTCGAGCCAGACGAGCCAGCGCCAGTGACCCCGTGCCTGCTGTCGAGCCAGACGATCCGGTACCTGATGACCCGGTGCCCGCTGTTGTGCCAATTGACTCAGAGCCCACTGTCGTGCCTGGTGACTTGGTGCCCACTGCCTTGCCAGATGACGCGGTGCCCGCTGTCGAGCCAAATGACCTGATGCCTGGTGACCCGATGCCCACTGTCCAGCCAGACGATCCAATGTCTGACCCAGTGCCCGTGGTCATGCCAGTTGACTCGGAGCCCACTGTCGTGCCTGGTGACTCGGTGCCTGTCACTCCGCCTGGGGGTCCGGCGCCCGCCGCTCCGCCTGGGGGCCCCAAGACCTGTCACTCCGCCTGGGGGTCCGGGCCCCGCCGCTCCGCCTGGGGGCCCGAGACCTGTCGCCCTGCCTGGGGGTCCGGCGCCCGCCGCTCCGCCTGGGGGCCCGAGACCTGTCGCTCCGCCTGGGGGTCTGGCGCTCGCTGCTCCGCCTGGGGGCCCGAGACCTGTCGCTCCGCCTGGGGGTCCGGCGCCCGCCGCTCCGCCCTGGGGTCCGGCGCCCGCCGCTCCGCCTGGGGGCCTGATGCCTGTCGCCCCGCCTAGGGCCCGATGCCGGTCGCCCTGCCTAGGGGCCCGATGCCGGTCGCCCCGCCTGGGGGCCCGATGCCTGCTGCTCCGCCTGGTGGCCCAGTGCCTGCTGCACCACCTGGTGGCCCTGTGCCTGCTGCTCCACCTGGTGGCCCAGTGCCTGCTGCTCCGCCTGGTAGCCCGGTGCCTGCTGCTGCTCCGCCTGGTGGCCCGGTGCCTGCTGCTCCGCATGGTGGCCCAGTGCCTGCTGCTTCGCCTGGTGATCCGATGTGCCTCTGCCCCGGAGTCCAGCCCGATGTGCCTCTGCCCGAGTCCAGCCCGATGTGCCTCTGCCCGGAGTCCAGCCCGATGTGCCTCTGCCCGGAGTCCAGCCCGATGTGCCTCTGCCCGGAGTCCAGCCCGATGTGCCTCTGCCCGGAGTCCAGCCCGATGTGCCTCTGCCCGGAGTCCAGCCCGATGTGTGCCCCTCTGCTCCGGAGTCCAGCCCGATGTGCCTCTGCCCGGAGTCCAGCCCGATGTGCCTCTGCCCGGAGTCCAGCCCGATGTGCCTCTGCCCGGAGTCCAGCCCGATGTGCCTCTGCCCGGAGTCCAGCCCGATGTGCCTCTGCCCGGAGTCCAGCCCGATGTGCCTCTGCCCGGAGTCCAGCCCGATGTGCCTCTGCCCGGAGTCCAGCCCGATGTGCCTCTGCCCGGAGTCCAGCCCGATGTGCCTCTGCCCGGAGTCCAGCCCGATGTGCCTCTGCCCGGAGTCCAGCCCGATGTGCCTCTGCCCGGAGTCCAGCCCGATGTGCCTCTGCCCCGGAGTCCAGCCCGATGTGCCTCTGCCCGGAGTCCAGCCCGATGTGCCTCTGCCCGGAGTCCAGCCCGATGTGCCTCTGCCCGGAGTCCAGCCCGAGTGCCTCTGCCCGGAGTCCAGCCCGATGTGCCTCTGCCCGGAGTCCAGCCCGATGTGCCTCTGCCCGGAGTCCAGCCCGATGTGCCTCTGCCCGGAGTCCAGCCCGATGTGCCTCTGCCCGGAGTCCAGCCCGATGTGCCCCTGCCCGGAGTCCAGCCCGATGTGCCCCTGCCCGGAGTCCAGCCCGATGTGCCCCTGCCCGGAGTCCAGCCCGATGTGCCCCTGCCCGGAGTCCAGCCCGATGTGCCCCTGCCCGGAGTCCAGCCCGATGTGCCCCTGCCCGGAGTCCAGCCCGATGTGCCCCTGCCCGGAGTCCAGCCCGATGTGCCCCCCCTGCCCGGAGTCCAGCCCGATGTGCCCCTGCCCGGAGTCCAGCCCGATGTGCCCCTGCCCGGAGTCCAGCCCGATGTGCCCGGAGTCCAGCCCGATGTGCCCCTGCCCGGAGTCCAGCCCGATGTGCCGCTGCCCGGAGTCCAGCCCGATGTGCCGCTGCCCGGAGTCCAGCCCGATGTGCCGCTGCCCGGTGTGCCATTGCCCGGAGTCCTGCCCGTTGTGCCAGTCTTTGATATCCCGCCAGTTACCAGACCCGGGCGGTGGAACATTTTGCCCAGCTAGGACTGTTTGGAGCGTCCTGAGGCCGCTCCTTGAGGGGGGGTACTGTTAGGAATGGACTTGCCAGTAGTGGTGGGACTCACCTGCCTTGTGGGCTGCAGTACCAGGGCTGGCCAGCGGGTGCTCCCAGCAATCAGAGACTAAACCCTGCAGTCAGCCAAACACCTGAAACTGCTTATGCAGGTGTATTTAAGTGATGGCCAGACCTGCAGTCTCGGCCTTGGTGTGTGTGTGTTTTTCCTGGGCCCTGTATCTTGTAATCCTGCATTCTTGTTCCTGTTCCTGTGTTCGTGCTAGTACGTTTCCTTGTTGCCAAACTCTTCCTGTTCTGATTACGCTGACCCTCTCCTGCTCTGACCCTGGCTCGTTCCTGACCATCCCTCTGCCTGACCCTCTGTACCACGCTGCCCGCTACCTGCTGAACCTGGCTTGTGACCCCGACCATTCTCCGCTTGCTCCTCCTGTACCTACCTGCCCGATTGTTATTGACCCGGCCTGCCTGACGACGCTTGCATTGTATCTTGTAATCCTGCATTCTTGTTCTGTTCCTGGTTGGTTTGCGTTTCCTTGTTGCCAAACTCTTCCTGTTCTGATTACGCTGACCCTCTCCTTCTGATCTGCTCGTTCCTGCGTTTCCCTCTGTTTGACCCTCTGTACCTTCACGCTGCCCGCTACCTGCTGAACCTGGCTTGTGACCCCGACCATTCTCCGCTTGCTCCTCCTATCTACCTACCTGCCCGATTGTTATTGACCGGCCTGCCTGCCTGACGACGCTTGCATTGTATGTACTGTTATCTGTGGGTGGTTGGTTTTGGTTCGTTTGCACTGTGTTATGTTTTAATATTGCACTGCGTTTATGTTTGTATTGTTAGTCTTTAATAAATTATATTGTTTATAACATATCTGAAGTCTGCGTTTCCCTGCGTCAGTCACATACCTCTGGTCATACCCGGGAGCCCTGACAGACGGAATCTATCTAGGATACTTCGTAGAGCCTCTAAGTCAGAAAAGGGGTCTGACATAAAAGTTAGCATATCATCAGCAAATATCTCTATGCGTAATTCACTTGATCCTATATGTATGCCATGAACAGGGGCTGAAGATACTGTAAGAGGTATCTCGAAAGGGGCTCCAAAGCTAAATTAAACAGGAGGGGAGAAAGGGGGCATTATGTAGGGGAATGGTACCTGAAATGCATCCTGAGGCTATAATCCGTGCCGTCAGGTTAGAGTACATATTCCGCAGAAAATCTACAATGTGTCTTGTAAAGACAAAATTTAAACATTACCAGGAAGAGCCAGTTGAGATTGATATTGTCAAAGGCCTTTTCTGCATCAAGTGTGATGATGTTTGTATAAACATTTTCATTATCTGGATATTCATGGCAATCCAATGTTTGCACAAGGCATGGAATACAAAGCGCACAAAAGGCTTGGTGAAAGCATTCTCCTTGTTCCATCAAGATACATTGAAACTAAAATCCTTTTCCGAGTTAAGCACAGAGTTCCATCTTCCTCCTACACATCTTCTATACTGCCATCAGACACTCTCCCACATTAAGTCCTGCTGTCCACATCACCTGCTGGGGCAGGTATCTTCTTTGTAGAAACGAGAGACCTTACTCTTTGCCCCTGTGTGGACTTTAGAGAATTAAATCAGAGTTCCACGCAAAAGTGGAAGCTTCTCTTATTTTCCTCCTGCCCCCCCCCCCCTCCACTGCCTTATTTGGCACTTTTTGTTTTTGACAGGTACCCACTCCCACCTCCAGCTCATTTCTCTGCAGCAAAGTGACCCAGAAGTGAGCCCCCCTCCTTCCTCCCACATTCTCCTAGGAACCTTCAGAGGTCCCAGAAGACTGCCATACCAATGAGAATGTACAGCGCAACTCGGGCATTTGCAGTGGGCACCTGGCTGTGAAGCCGCAAGCTGTCACAGCCTGGTGCCCACAGTTGTGATGCCAGCGCCGGGGAGAGAAGAGGCAGAGAAGGGATGGTGTGAGTGAGCACATCGCTGGACTCTGAGACAGGCGAGTGTGTGTTTATTAAATGTCAGCATCTACAGTTTTTGTAGCTGCTGACTTTTAATAAACACAGAACCGACTGCAACTCCGCTTTAAATAAAATTACGGTGAAAAACAGGTATCCCCTTCCTCTGGTCCCTGAACTTTTTCAGAGGTTTGGGAAGCCAAAGCATTTACCAAACTTGATCTGCATGGGGCCTACAATCTTGTACATATAAGAGAGGGAGATGAATGGAAAACAGCATTCAGAACATAGTTTGGGCATTTTGAATACCTTGTTATGCCATTTGGTCTATGCAATGCACCAACAACATTTTGAACACTTTGTGAATGACATAGTTCGAGACTTTCTGGATCTTTTTATGATTGCCTATCTGGATGACATCCTGATCTTTTCCTTTCTCTAAAACTGCAGTTAATTCATATTGTCAATGTGCTGGGCTGGCTAAGAGAATATAGACTTTATGCCAAAGCAGAGAAATGCGAATTTGAAGTACAGGAAATCTTCTTCCTTGGCTTCATCATTTCAACAGAGGGGATTTCTATGGATCCTCATGTTAATGAACTTTTGAATGGGTCTGTTCCAGCAGATAAGAAGAGGGTGCAAATATTTGTGGGTTTTGCTATTTTCTATAGGAAATTCATTAAGGGATTTTCTTCTATTCTCTGTCCCATCACATTACTCACAAAGTCACATACCCGATTTCAATGGATTGTTGAAGCACAAAAGTCTTTTGATAGGCTGAAGCTCCTTTTCACCTCTGCCTCAATCTTGCAACACCCAGATCCAGCATTACCATATATCCTGGAGGTTGATGCTTTGGAGAATGCAGTAGGAGCCATCTTGTCACAGAGATCAGGAACAAAATCATTAGTGCTTCTTGTAGCCTTTTTCCTCAAGGAAATTAAACCCAGCTGAAAGAAACTGTGATGTTGGAGATCGCGAGCTTCTGGCCATTAAATCGGCTCTGGTAGAATGGCGGTATTTGTTGGAAGGTGCAACTCTTCCTATTTTGATCTTTACAGATCATAAGTAGAGATGAGCGAATTATTCAAAAATTCGGTTCGGCTGATTCGCCGAATTCGCCGAATAAATTTGCTTCGAGCCGAATATATTCGCTGCGAATTTAACTTATAAAAAGGGTGTTTCTAGGCTTCAGAGAGCCTTTATATTAGTGCAGAACACTGTACCTTTAATTTAAATGCCCTTGGAGTCTGCTGGGGAAGAGAAATAATACTGTCAGTCAGTATGACATGCAGATGAGTGCCGTCGATCTTAGAATCACCACACACTTCACTCATTTGGGCAGTCACGGGGCCAAAACCAGAGTGTGGAGCCACAGTGTGGCGGTGGAGGCAGCAGCAATGGGAGGCCATACAGCACCCTATGACGAAATGGAACCCACCAGCAGTGTGAGGAGACCTGAAAGTGGCACATGGCAGAGTGTGGCGATGGAGACAGCAGCAATGGGAGGCCGTACAGGGACCCATGACACACTCTGGACCTGGCAGCAGCATGAGGAGGCGGTACAACAGGGGCCCATGACAGATTACGTGGCCTGGCAGCAGCATGAGGAGTCGGTACGCGGGCCCATGGCAGATTACGGGCCTGGCAGCAGCATGAGGAGGCGGTACAGGGGCCCATGGCAGAGTGGCGGAGCGTAAGCAGCTAAAATTGCGGTGTAGGCAGCATTATTCTGAA